AACTTATCTTTTATTTAGTTTTTATGCGTCATTCAAGATGGCGGCCCCCATATAGTAAATATCGCATTTATTTTATTATATCAGATATGCGCCAGCTGACTGTGTTCCTGGGCTCCCTGTGGTCACCCTGAGTGACTAACCGTACACCGAGCGGATATTTTAAACCATATCAAATCATTCGGGAGCAAACCCCTCCCGGCCGTCATATTTGCGCACACTGATGTCAATTCGCAAAATAACTTTCAGCTTTTTTAATTAAATTCTAATTACTTGTGTTATATATCAAATCCGACATTGAATGAGACAATTTTTCGGTCGGTTCTAACTATCGAATTATCTTCATTACAACGATTCGTTTTCAAAAATAAACTTGTTATAATGAGATTTATTTATTTCGTTTGCCATGCGCTTGACAGTAATGCACAACACGTACGAAACATTCACATTCACATTGCTACATTTTGGTTGATATTACGCCTAACAATGACATTGATTTTGTGCAGCTGAAGAATGCATTGGCCAATAAGATCGACGGTAATGTACAAGCATTGATGGATCTCAGCAATGCCGTTGAAGCTTCCTTTCAAGAACCGGAAGTCAGTTTTCCAGAATGTTGCAAATTAAATGACGACGACCTGGAATATTATCCTCGGTTACGAAAGAAGGTAAATCACTTTGCAAATTCAAAAATCTGGGTTAGCTTTTAATAATTTGTGTAGTGTAGTGTAGTGTAGTGTAGTGTAGTGTAGTGTAGTGTAGTGTAGTGTAGTGTAGTGTAGTGTAGTGTAGTGTAGTGTACTGTACTGTACTGTAGTGTAATGTAGTGTTGCAGTATGCCGTGTTGTAGTGTGTGTATGTGATATGTTGTGACATGTATTAACATTCTGTATTGAACACTGCAGATAGATTTTGAAAACCCATGCTTGAGATATGCCAAATACGGAGACAGGGGTGGACGAATGTTGTCTGATGGCGTATTGTCTGTAATGAAAACAAACTTCGAGAAGAATCGAGAGTTAAAATGGCAGTACTTTGGAAGCGAAGAGGGTGTATTCACTTTTTATCCGGGAACATCGCGTGCATTGTGTGACGACTATGACCATAGATTTAGGCAAGCGGATTATTTGTCTTTATATTATATATAGAAATTACATAATCTACTTGAAACATACACAAGTTTAAATGACAGTATTGACAACATTGTCACTCTTTTCATAAATAATGATTTTATCCTGACTTGATAAATTCAACTCATAGAATACTTACTGTGTGTTCTTATCTTAGACCGTGGTACGTTGAAACAGCCACCCCAGAGCCAAAGAATGTTGTCATAGTAATGGACGCGAGTGGTTCCATGCAGAGAGCATTCCCTCACTGTGAACAACAAGGGACGTTAATGCATATTGCGAAGAGCGCATCCATTGACGTACTCAGGACAATGAATCCCATTGACAAGGTAAGGGCGGGAGAAGGAGATTATTAAGGGGAAATGTCAAGTTGTACTTGGAACAATGCATTCTATTAACATTAAAAGACTGTGATAAGGATTGAGGTTTACATAAGACAATGAATTCAATTGATAAGGTAAGAGTGAGAGAAGGATCTTGATTTCCTAGGACATTGCATTTCATTGAAGGTAAGTGGAAAAAAAAATTCAAAACGTACCTAGAACAATAACCTCATTGCAAGAAGAGTTGAAACATACCCAGGACATCCCATTGACAAGAAGGTAGTAATAGGAGAATGGAAAGACCTACTTAGAACACTGAATCCCATTGAAAATGTAAGAGCAGGAGAATAGTCAGGTGTATCTGTATAGAGCTATGATACTAAAAGAGTTGGATAAAGGTCAAGAGTACTTAGAACAATGAATAAGATAATTGTGAGAGACGGGTCAAAACGTACTTACAACACTAGATCTAAGAGTTGTGAAAGATCTATGTTGGACAATGATTCCAATTGATAAGAGTGGGAGAAGAGACGTACTTAAAAACTGGACCCCATTGACAAGGCTAGAGTGGAAGAAGGGTTGAGGCATGCTTACAGTGAGACTACAATGATAATGAATCGCACTGATAAGCTGAGAGTGGGAGAAACGATCAAAGGTTCGTTGTTGCTGGAAACAAATCCTAGTGGATTGTCCAGACTCGATTATAGTTGATACCAGATTAACCAAATGTAATTTAATCATTAAATTCATTCTGTTATAGATGTATGAATGCAGGAATGTGTGATTCTATATACACAATTATTTATGGCAGGTCGGTGTGATTGCCTTCTCTGATGGCGTGAGAGTTCCAAGTGGTGATGATGAAACAAGCGATTGCTATGGTTACCAGTTAGCATCTGCCACCCCACTTAATATCAATTATCTGATCTCTGATTTTGTCAATACCATCAGCGATAATGGTAGGTGTCTTAAACAATTCAGTATTTCAATTGCTTGAACGTGACATGTGTCATTGTGATTGTAATGACAAACGAATGACAAACCAGGACCACAACTTACAAATCAACTTCTAGGTGGGTATTGCCTTTTAGACTTCTCCTGTCATAGTTTACAGCTACACATGGTAATAACAACATGTACAATTATATCATTATAATCACTACAACACATGTTTGCATTATCTGTAAAAGTTTCATCATGATTTCTCATTTTCTCCATTTAAACACTAAAGAGGGGGGAATCTAAATCCATCCGAGGCCGGGCTACATCACATCCTAATATCAGTCCCAAAAACTTGTGTAGCCATGTGTAGCTTTAATAACATATTCCTACCAGATATATTTAAATTACTGATACACACTCGACCTGCATTGAAACATAAATAAAAAAAGATCTGATCATCATTAAAACATTAATCATTTTCTTAGATTGTATGATTTTTTCTTTGCTCATTAGGGGATACGCATTATATAACTGCCTTTGAGAAAGCATTTGATTTACTAGAAGCGTCACAGCCTGTCGAAGGAGAATTGCAGAGAGGTGAGTGGGATTTCAATGGTTGGTTCATTTTGGACATAACTTTGAGATGGGCTAAAGCATGGACCAAACTTTGTAGATTCAAGTCCGTTGAACAATTCTAAAACTAATTGACTAACACAGGATTAGTAGGATAAGCTGTTTTAAGAAGGGTTACAAAAGTTGAATCCTGTTTATCAATAAACTGAGATGGATTGGGGAATGTTGTTGGGTCAATCATTTGTGCGTGTCAATTATGACAGTGAATTGACCATTTAAGTTGATTGGAAATGGGTTCAGTCTTTTGAACATCATATACTGTATGTCAGAATTATTTGTTGATTCATTGAGTAATATTAATTGATTATTTGACTGAGTGATTCATTATTTGGTCAAATCTTGCTTACAGCACGTCTATTTTATTACAAACTGTTACCTGGGGTAAGTAAATATGATGACAGCCAAATTTGATTGTATTGTATAGTCAAATATTATAAATAAAAATTTGCAAAGATTAACAAGTAAATTCAGATACACGTGTTTTATTTTCTCACACAGACCAAGTTATTTTATTTTTGACCGACGGCGAACCCACCGATGGAGGGGAATCGGTGTCATTACTAGAAAAGAAACGAAACATCATTCATACAATAGTAAGAAGAAATGCTAAAATGAATAACGAAGTCGTAATATTCACCTTTGGCTTAGGCGAAGGTAAATTTGTTGTACATTATTTCTCTTTTTATTAAAGGTAAACACAGACTGCCATATTCTAATTAAATTCATGTATTTCGTTTTCCAGCAGCTTAAATTTAAAATGCATTTCAAACCTCGCGATTAGACCGAAATAAATTCAAGCCTCTGAACAAATAATATTCTTCATTTTTCTTGAGACACGTATATTGTCATAATTATGGGACTTGGCAGTTTTAGAAAATGACAAGTCGAATTAGAACAACAAATTAATACATTAAATTACATAAAGTATAAGTATAAATGTCAGAACATTGGGAGTGAGTGGACCTCATCTCCACTATTTGTCGCCATGACAGAAATAAATGAGAATTAGTAGATCTCCTATAATTCCAAAAAAGAAACATACTGTATTTTCAGATCCTGATCACCAATTCCTGCGACATATTGCAGAACAGGACGGGACAGTGTATAACGTGCAAAGAAACAATACTGCTGGGGAAGTGACGGTAATAAAGTCAAAGTTCATCGTTATATTATATATTTGCTATACTCATTGTTTATGAAATATAAGGATAGGCATTAGCGATGGTAAATTTCGTCTATAGACGACAAGGTACTTATGTATTTATAGACATTGAATTGAATATATTGTGTGTGTTTTTGTATTCACAGCCTGGGCATTACAAGCACGTATCAGATGCATGTAAACTACGTACCATAATGGCATCGTATTATGACTTCTTCTCACATAGAACTCAACAATCAGATTCCCCTGTTTTTTCTGTGCCGTATCAGGGAGCCACAGGGACAGGTATACCACTGAACAGTTTATTTTGTTGTCTATTAACCGTTATTGGGTCTATCATTAAATCTATTCATTAACTTACAAATGGTAAATGTCATAACAATATTCATAGTTTGAAATAACTTTTAAAAACCAAAGCTGTTAAAGATATTTACATCTGTATTTATTTGCATATGTAAATGTATGTAAAGTTTGAAATAACAATGCTTACTGTTATTTTTTATACATGGACAATTCAAATCTAAGTGTAATGTATTAGAATTGTACATAGTTCCAATCTTGTAATAAAGTCCGTGAAAATTACGTTTATATATATAGTTATAAATCGCATGTTATTTAGGTTTGATGACAACTGTAGCTTTGCCAGTGAAATACGATGGACAGTTAAAGGGAGTTGTAGGCGTTGATATAACTTTAGACGATCTTCTGTCTGACGTCACGTTCTTCAAGGAAGGTGACCTATCATATGCTTTCATTTATGAGAGTGGGACAAAAGCAGAAGGTGAGAGTCATGTTAGTTGTTTTTGTCCATCATCAACTTCTGCAAAAACTTTTTGAAAGGTTATTAATGCTGTGTACAAAAGCACGTCATTCCTTTTCAATTGCACGAATTAAAAGATTTTCAGTTCTGTCAACAATCTGATAACTGTGTGCGTGGTGATGTGAAGCATACACAATATGAATTGTTTGTAGTTCCTGGAAACCCCACCATTATTTACGCTATTTGTGTTAATATGCGGATATGTCTAAAGTCTGTTCTAAGAAACATTCGGTAAAAGAGCATCAGTACGATCATCAATTGTAATAACGTGTAATACTTCTTGAGCATTTTCCTGACTACGACAATTACAATTTGCATCTTACCGTAAGATGTTTACTAGTTCTCCGGAACATTATGTATCAGCTTCTACGTTTTATAACTGTTGTCAACTGTTGTCAACTAGTTTATGCTTGGATATGACCTTTGCCTCAGTATTGTAAACACGCCTTTTCTCTTTACCAGGACGTACGCTAATGCACCCTCTAGCACCAGCACCAATCAGAATCCAAGACGACCCTGTATTTGTCCATATATGGTCATTGGAAAGAGACAATATTTTCAGATCAAATATATATGGTAACGTAACCAGGTGAGTTTTCCCCCCATCAAAAGTGAAGTGCGCATGCGTAGAGTCAAGCATGTAAACACTGGTTGCCATAGGGCATGTGTATTTCAAGAGCAGCTTATGTAACATATGGTTTCCATAATCCCACTATTAAAACGTCTCTCATTTAGTGTATGGAGTCATATAATTATTGTTCGTGAAGAAAGATCTATTTTCATACCAGTATAGCCTTTATACCGTACAATTTCGTGTTATTCAATGTACAATTTGAGGTGTATTTTCATTTATGTTTTGGGAGTAAAGTTTCCAACCCTAACTTTAAATATTCAAATCTGAGATGTAAAATAACGTGATGTACCAATTAGAATAATAGATCAGCAACCAATCATAGCGTTCAATTCCAGCATGATTGAGGGACACATGGTAATGTTATAAACGTCATATCTTTTGTAGTATTCCAGTGGCTATTTATTACCAGTTTGTTCTGAATGAGCATAATGTTCTGCACTTAATTTGAACAGCAATCGATTGAATTGTTTGTATACCTTAAAACTGAATGAATATAAATGTTATGATGATTTTTTTCTCTAGGGTACAACTTTTATATTATTAGTCTCAAACCGTATATAATTTGTTTTTTAATTTTATTTTTTCAGTGGCCATGATTCGTCACCACTAACCTTTCATTCTAAACGCACCATGTCACGTGGTAACTGGGTCAAAGAAGGCGTCAGGGTGTTTGAAGTTGAATCAACGTATTTCTGTGATGCGGTAAGCAAAAAAACATAGTTTGCCGGATTCTAAAAAAGTTGTTCGTGGACTTGAGGCACTATTGATCAGAAAAGGGTTATAGTAACTAAAATTACTATCCCATGAACACTGAATACTTTTGAATATGCATGGTGAAATGTAAAATCGCTCAATGACCATTCGCATTTTCTACATACTTTGCAAAAGTAAAAACAAGCCAAATTATTGCGACTTCTGATTCTAGTCGAATTATCAGATGCCATGACTATAATGTTGATACTTACTATCAATAATGAATGTTGTATTTGTAGGTCGTCGGTTCTGAATACGTCGTGTGTTTGGTGTTAGCTGTGGGAGATTCACAGACAGACTTAGATTCAGAGAAAATCACAACAACAGGTACACACAAACGAAATATATGCTTATAATCATTATTACCACTTTGCTTTCAAATTGTTTTCATGTTCTTTTTGTATACATTTTAATTCTTTCATCCATTTCCGAAAATTTAACAGTGTCGAAAATTTCTGAATTATTGTCCATGAAGTTTTACAACAGCTTTTACACTTTTCAATTTCTACTCTAAATTTCTACTTATTAGAAATGTTTCAATTATTTTTCTCTCAGGTCACGATTTTTTGTATCATAAGTACGACTTGGCATCCCCACAGCAACCTTGCCAGCACTTGGATAGATTCAGCACAATCGGTAGAATTTATATTTATTTTAATTTTGCTTTTTTAACATAATGTATTTGTTTAAGTTTTGAAAGTTAGTACCAACTTTTGCTTAATTGTATCATATTTGCATATAACGTGAATACTCCTTGTCCTGGTCAGTTATCGCAATTCAGTAGTGCATAGCCGATGGTGATTTGTATAACAATATTATAGATAGTTCGTCTTTAGTGAACCATGGGCAGATTTAGAGGAGGCCGAGGGGGCCGCCCCCTATTTTTAACAACCAACAGGGCTTCGCGCCATCGGTGCTCGCGAACTTGGCCTTCGGCCAACTTATCGCTCCCCTATTCCAGAATCCTAGATCCGCCCCTGTGAACAGTTTCTCTGATTGTATGTGACGTTAAAGTATAAAGACACTATAATAACTAATTGCAATGGTTGGTTGTAATTATTGTTAGTTATAGCGACCCCTTTTGAAAATAAGAATAATTGTGATTGAACATTTCGCGATGTTGTACGTAGTCCTAATATTTTACCAACCTTTGTAATAAATTGCAAAGTGTGTTCTTCGTTCTCGAATTGTCAAGTGACCTAATATTTTCCCTTCGTAGAAAAATCCACCGTCCAATTCGGCACTATAGCTTTCAATGACCCGATCAAGTTCATGATATTTGATGAAGACGACGACAGTGTCACACGTTTTCAGCGATATATGAATGACAACACCGGTGACGTCATCGATGATGATTTTAAGGTATTTATAATAAATAGTGAACAGTGTGGGTGTATGACAGTGTTCAGTCTGTACGCTAAGTATATGGATGACGTCATGTCTGTACAAAAATATGTGATTGTGCATGTGTTTTTTTTCAGGAGGGCATACGTTCGATGGTATGGGCGACGTCAAAAGTCGATGACCTATGGAAAGAATCTGATGATGTGTTTTCGATGAAAGAATACGTTTACTATCGCCATCTTGTGACGGAGAATGGCGTGTATAGAAGATACCCAGGGATGATGTTAAAAAAAACGTTTCCAGCAACACAGACTTCATGGTAAATAGACTACTAGTATTTCTATACGCCCCTTCCTCGCGTTTCCAGCAACACAGACTTCATGGTAAATAATAATCTACACCAATACGTCCCTTACCCAATTTTCCAGCAAAATAAACAACAAATCTTGACTACTTCGATACGCCCGCAACAAATCAGAAGAGTTACACCGTTTCACCAAACAAGATAAGAAAGGGTAGGTGTCATAGTCCATTTAAGAAACAGAACTTCATGTGAGACATTTTCAGCTAGAAAATGTGTCGCTAGAATGGCTTTTTGAGTCAAACTTGAACTCCTCAGACCTTACAATTTATTACCGCTTGTTGTTGTTTTGGTGGGTAAGGGGGGGGGGTAACCCAACAATAATAGTTAGCTCAAATTTGTTTTATAATAATTGAACACAATCGTCCATAGAAAAGTGTTGATGTTGTTTGGTTCATATAGGGTGTATCTTCTTGGTCATTGCCGAGATTTTACAACGATTTTCGGCCTGAACCTCCACTTATGCATAATGATAGCATATTTGATTACGGTGTACCAAAAAATAAACTTCTAATTATTTAGTTTCTCACAGAATATTATTTGACGAAATACGCGAGTTACTACTATGTAGGATATTTTAATTTCTTGAACATTTAATATTACATTTAATATCGCTGGAACCATTGTATATGTTAAAATTCAAAACCGAACGTGCATACTAAAAGATGATAGTTACTTATAGTAGCTTTATTGCCATTTTAAAATGTCTCGTTTGTTTGCATTATACGTGTGGTCGTTGTTTGTGTCTATATAATCGAGCGTGTCCGAACGAAGTAGTCAGACACCAAATCCACCTAGTAAAAGTGTGCCAATTGCGTTGCGTTTATTGAAGCCTTGCTTATGTGCTCGTTGGTATTTGTACATAATAGGGATAAATAGTAATAATGTTGTGCACGTGTGGATGTGAACACAGATTTCCGTATATTGAATATGTCTAGCCTCATTTATTTTAGAAACACTTTAGCTGCCGAATCTAAACATATGCTACGTGGATACAGTGTATACAAGTAATGGTTTGTTGCGTATGAAGCACGGGTTGCACCCCTCTGTAATAACTACTGTAAAATACTTTATTTTCGCTTGGAATTAATTTTCGCTATTTTCGCCCAAGGAATGATTCCGTGAAAATAAAATCCAACGAATATACCGTTTTTCCTATATTTTACATTCAACTTGTCAAAAATCAGTGAAAATAAATTCCAAACAAAACACCCAATGAGTCTTTTCAGCGAAATTTATTCCAGCTAAAATAAAGTATTTACAGTAACTTTCTCGTCATCGTTTCATTGTAGGTATCAACGAGCTAAGAGTAATGTAGGGAGAATTACGTTATCGCCACCATTCGACGTAACGGGGAATAAGAAGTTCGCCATTACTATGTCACATACAATTACACTAAGGTATTCTAGTACGATTATAGTAACTAAGGCTATCGCATTATTCTAATAAGTTTTTATGAAAGGCTGTATATTGCCCGGTCCCTTGTTAACGTCAATGAGATTTGGTAGTGTGGAGGCACGCTTTAATTCTAAATTGATACATTATAATTACTCCATTGGTTGGATGTTTCGCTTGTCATTGGTTCAGACACCACGGAGCAAGGTTACATTCAGTCGTCACATGGTTACACTCGATATGGGTATATTATATATGGCTTTATTTTCATGGGATCATTTCTATTTGCATTTATGTGCATATATAATTTGTCTTTACATCACGGTATTTGTTATGCCTGTGAAATAATATATATGTGTGTTTCCATCTACTTCAATTTGTCATGTTCATTTGCCCATGACATCAAGACTGTTTACAAACATGTTCACGTTGGAAAATAAGGCAGGCTTACCCAAATATTAGGCTTGACTAAATTTCTTGTGTGAACACGAACCTAAACATTTAGGCCGGCCTATAAAAGTCATGCCTGGGAAGTGGTGCCAGAGCCGGCCATAGTTTTAATCCCCAACTTAGAGCGGCCTAACTACAGATTGAACAAGCGCCAAACGGGAAGTCTTCTCTCAAAGTATCATATACCGTGACGTTGGGTTGGGTTTCATACTATATTCAGTATCAGATTGTTTTCGAGAGACGTAACAACACCTGTTTTGTTTACATGTTGATAGAATGCATACTAGTAGCGTGACTGGCCGGCGACCATGTTGGTCACTAGTCGGTTTGTAAATTTCAAATAAAAATGAACGTTCGTTATTCGATCCGAGTTGTAATTGACATTCAAAAAGATTACGTAATATATGTAAAACCTTCTTTACAGTCAACCATCGAACCAGGAAAAGATTATGGGTGCGATGAGCATGGACGTGGACATGGACTATTTTTATTACATTCTCAATACAACCTATCCTCAATGTAACGAAGAGTCATATAGGTAGGAAGATACGATATATGTGAATTATTATACCGCCACCAACGGTAGGATAATTAGATTCTTGAATCAACAGATGGCATTTTACTTTCAATGTACCCTCTTCGTTGTATCCTGCACTGTTTCATGCGTGCCTGGCGAGTCAATTACGAGAGCGCGACTGGGTAAAACGTTTCGACCCATTTGCATGGATAAACGAATTAGATAGTGATGCGTGAAAGTGCGTTTTTACCTTTTTGGACATTTATTCATATATTTTGTATGGCAACATCATTGACTATCAACAATCTCTGGGCATGCGCCAGACTGAAAAACAGTCAATGTAATATGCTAATACACACCGTGATGTCAATTAATTTTGTGATGTCATATTTCAGTTGTTTTATAATGGATAACAGTGGTTACCTTGTAGTGCATCCTGACTTTTTCGTGAATTCGGGGAAAAATACCCCGGATGTAGTAGACATTCACGTTTCTGAAATCGAACCAACAATAGCCAAAGACTTGCTCAGACAAGGATTTTTAATAAAACAAGAATGTGTCGACCTTCAGTATGTAAAATATCTACATTTCCACGAGGTGAGTAACATACAACGGCGTACTCGCAATGCATCACGGTATATATGTAATATACAAACTTGAAGTTTGTACGTACAAAGGTGCACAGTGGGCATTTATGATTTATGAGTTATACAACCTATTTAATTAAACTTCACTCTGTTGAATATTGTCAACAAACATATTGGCAAATAGTTTGACTGGAATAATTTCAAAGTGTCACAAAAGTTACCTACTTTTATTTAATGAATATGAGCGTAATCGAGATGTAACTGTTTTTATGAATGCATATTTGCAATGTGTTATTTCACAGATCACTGTATATAACCATGGAGGTATAAACAGATACCTCCATGATATAACTAAATTTATCTTTGTGCATCAGACGCAAATATTTTGTGAATAATTCCTCGTACAATGTCAAACATTCGTAATCCGGTTCTAATAGTAAGAAATAATAGTTCCCACGTATTTATATGTCGTTTTTAATTCATCATATATCTTTGTATCGCTACAGGTTCATCTGCAGACACACCTTTCAGACGCAGATAACTTAGATGACGACAATGCATGTAAGCTGTACGAACTCACACATATACCGGGCTCCAATGCGTTCCTGGGCATCGTAAAGAAAGTGTGCCACGAAGACATCTCATGTTGTTCATGTTTCACTGTGAGTGTAACTAATTACACACAATTGTTGTGACCTGTGTATGTTTCTGAAATACTTTAAAAATATGAATACTATTTGTTTAATTTCAGTCAAGATGTCAAAATAATTGTCAAAGCCAGTGTGAGTGTCCTTGTCGATCACCGGCAGACTACGACTACTGTAATGACTTCTACGAATTCACAAGGTAACATTTCGTCTTACTGTATTTACTAGGAATGCAAGTTAAAGCGGGAGGGTCGTCACCTGCGCACGCGCGGGAATTGAGTCCCAAGCGATGATAACACACGCTAAAAACACAAAGGCTCATGGGTAGACGCTTGTTTGTAAACGATGGCACGCTATGGTCACCTGACGCATGCGTAGGTGACGACTCCCCCGCTTTAAGCTTACTGTTATCTTGGCAACTCCTAATCTCCAGGCTTCGCCAGTAAAGAGAAGTATCCCGGGGCAACCACTAATAATAGTGTTAGCCTGATGCACACAATTGCTGTCGAGTAAATTGCTATATACTTGTTATTGTCGTTGTACATTTTTTCAATGCCACGGCCGGCTGCCATAACTATCAAGTGCATGTAACATGCAATATAACACGTATAGTATAGGTGAAGACAGTTACGTATGAATACAGTGAAACATGCTATTTGCAAAACACGACGTAATATTTTCAATTTGTAAACTTTAATTTCAGTGACGATGCCCCGTCCTGTACTCCGGGGTGTCATTTATTCGAATCATATTCATTCGATGAGGACATTGTACTTGAACATGAACGTCTTCCGGTATGTGTACAAGTGGACTGTGCACTGAAGACACAAAGGTATGCTTTATATTCATAAAACAGCGATTCGACTCAATGTATCCGTATATGCAATGCTAAGTTATGTGTGGTGGGTAAGTTTATATCGCAAAACTAGGCGTTGAGGTGTTCTTTTCGTCACATAAAACGAACTGACTAAACATGCGGAATTGTTATTGAAACGGACATCGATTGCGTTGTGTTTTCTTGAGTTGAACAGACGTGAGGGATAATTCAAACTTGTTTATTTGTACTCAACATGAACATCAATACGTTGTACAGCAAATACTTCTTGGTATAAAATATAGATCGCTAAATAATAGCTTCACGAGGAGTTGACATCGTAGAGAGCATAGAAAGGAGGGTGTGCATAACGAGCATCAAGTTGCGAAGCTACCATACGAGGAATTACAGCGACGGCCGATCTAGTCTCTCAGGGCTCAACTTGTGGTTATCAAAACAATGTCTGGAATTACAAACTAACTTAGAGAACATCATAAAGAAAGTAAAAAAATTTCATGTTAGATAACTGCGCGCGACATTATGATACAGGAGATGTGTTTGGCTCGTAAATAGATTTATATTTTTGTTCACCAGTTGACACGTTCTAAAATAATATCAAAGAAATTGTCGGTTATAGAA